CAATGAGCCGAGATTGCACCATTGCACTCCCGTTTAGGTGACAGAGTGAGATTCCATCTCAAACAAACAAACAAAAAAGAAGTTGCTCAAAGTTGTATAGAAATTCAAGGACAATGGCAAATGGTTTGGCTGCTTAATCAGAAGCTTGTAAAACAGGGACAGAGGAGCTCTGAAAATGAGGCATGCAGGTGGATTTATAGAAAGGGGTATGAATGTGAAGCGATTTGTATGGCATTTTAACGCCCACCAGAGGGCATCTACCATGTTAGAGGCACTAAATAATCAAATTCATCAGACAATGGCAAAAAGATTCTTGGTTAGACAGAGAAATAACTAATAGATGTAATTTACTCACAGACTTTGTTTGAGATATCATTGGCCCTGCCAAGATGCAGAAAATAAATTAAGCATCTCTTGGTGGTCTAGTAACTCTTTCCTTTTTTCTCGGTCATAGTAAGCAGTTACCTACCTGCTGAGATGGTAAGTAAACTAACTCCAAAACATCACTTTCAAAAGGCTGCAGATACCTGCACTCCTCTGTAATAAGGCTTTGAAGAGTTCCTGTTAAAAATTCACCTTCAGAACTGAGAGAATTTCAGGGGGCTAGACCACCTAAGACCCTGCAGGCAACAGAAGAATTTCTGCTTTACTCCTAAGGAGAATTTGAAAAAGTTACTGAATCTTTCTAAACACTCAAATGCTCACCGTAAAAGGTAACATTTCCTACTTCGCAGGGTTGTTTGAAGATTATGGGAGATACTGCATAAGAATGTTCTAATGCATTACATAAAGCAGATTCTGAATAAACTGTTATTTCCAAAGTTCAATTCCATCCTCCCTAAAACACTAATGTCTCCATTTCACTCATCATCCCATTGCCTCTCAGTTCTTTGGGGACACTATGCCAACTATCTTTTTCCTCTGCTTTCTTGCTAAACTCTCCTTTCCTGATGGCTCATGAAAAATCAACACACATTCACTGAACATTTGTTTAGTAAGTGCCAGGTATTTTTTTTTTTACATGTTACCTTAACCTACCCAAACCTCTCCTGAAGGTACTGATCTTTCTCCTATCTGCTATTATGAAACCTGTTCAATTAGGTGACAATAAGAGAATCCAGATAAAGATGGTTTTCAGAGGAAATGTGAATATCTAGATACTGCATTCAATATTTAGATTGTATGTGCATGTGAGCATTTTTCAGAAAAAAAAATCAATATCTTCTGTCATAGTATCGAAAGATCCCTGACTCAACATGTTAAGATACATTGAATCTACATTAATAGTTTTTCAGGGCTGTCCTGCTCTTCCATTGTATCTGTTTCTGTCCCTACCTGAAGATTCTAGCTATGGTTATCAGTAAATTTTTAATTTTAAAATCAAATTTCTATATTTTAGCCTTCTTCCTATGTTATTTACCTTCATCATGTAATATTCCTTTAACTTGTTTTTTGAGATGGAGTCTTGCTCTTTCACCAGGCTGGAGTGCAGTGGCATGATCTCGGCTCACTGTGACCTCCGTCTCCCAGATTCAAACAATTCCTCTGCCTCAGCCTCTGGAGTAGCTGGGACTAGAGGCATGTGCCACCACGCCCGCCTAATTTTTTGTATTTTAGTAGAGATGGGGTTTCTCCATGGCCAGGATGGTCTCGATCTCCTGACCTCATGATCCGTCCACCTTGGCCTCCCAAAGTGCTGGGATTACAGGCGTGAGCCACCGCGCCTGGCCCATCATGTAACATTCATAACAACATTTCTTTCTTTAATTTCTTTTTTCATTTGATTGCTGACACTGCTGATAGCTCCCAATAAGTCATCTTAGGGCACTTCAGACCTTTCTTTGGCTCCTACTTCTCAGTATGATTCATGAATTCTGGTGTTTCCTGAGAAACACCTTTGTCTTAATTTACTGTTGTTTCACATACACTCCTTGTATTATATACTCTATGGGCAAAGCTTTCCCCATCTCAAGATCAGACCTATCATAATATCTACATCTATATCTCTAGGTAACTAAAAAGTAAATTGCACAAATGTCCAAAACTAAGTTTTAAATCACTACTATCAAAAAAAATTCAACTTAACACAAAGATACTGTTTTTCTTTATGATCCATGTATATTATTTTATTATAATTTCCTGTGTTGGTAATTTTCAGAAGATCAGAGCCATTGAAACATTTCTAGAGGAGTATAGATTATTACAGCCTATATAGAGTGGAATTTGGCTATATAGCTCAGAAGTCTTTAAAATGTGCATACACGCTTTTATTCCCTTAAGTATGACTTTATCCTGAAGAGTCCTCCCACCAAAAGACAACTAGAACTTAAATAAATTAAGACAATCATATTTTTATGGCTAAGCTCACAAGAAGGAAAGGAAATATCGAAGTGTGAGGGGACATGCCCCTGTAATCCCAGCTACTTGAGAGGCTGAGGCAGGAGAATCGCTTGAACCTGGGAGGTGGAGATTACAGTTAGCCAAGATTAGGTAGAACATTTTGCTTATAACATTAAGGTAAGAGAGAACCCATTTTGAATGTTATGTTTGGCACCCTTAACATATTCACGAGGAAAAAAAAAGGTTATGAAAATAAAATAAATAACAATGTAGGTAACAGGTAAGTATTTTTATTTAAATGAACACTAGATCATGAGTCAGAAAGCGAAGCTTTGGTCCTGGATTCAGCACTAACTAGATTGTTCGAATCTTATTGTTGAACTTCAAGGTCACTGTCCCTCGTATCCTTTCTACATCACTGTATTTGATGCAGGACAGGTGAGCCTCAACGTGGGGCTTAGCGCTCAAAGTTTCTTGACTTTGCTCATGAAGGAATTCAGGGGCAAGCTGGAGGTAGAAAAAAAGAGGCTTTACTGAAGAGGTGGTGTTACAACTCTGGCAGTTATAACTCTGTGACTGCTCCTGCAGGGCAGGGCTACCCCATATGCAGAGAGTAGCGGCTTAGGGCGGGTCTGCAGTCGTATTTATACCCACTTTTAACTACATGCAGACTAAGGGGCGATTTATGCAGAAATTTCAAGGGAAGTGGTAGTGACTTTGGGTCATCCCGTCATTGCCAAGGAAAGAGGCAGTAACTCCTGGGTGTTGCTACGGGCATGGTAAACTGACTTGGCACACTAGGGGGCGTGTCTTATGGAAAGCTGCTTTCCACTGGCCCTGTTTTTGCTAGTTCTCAATTTGAGGTCTGGTGTTCAAGCTCTGCCTCTGGAGTCTAGTCCTGCCTCCTGTCTCGTATTTGCCTTGCTAAGTACATTGTCTTTTTACAGGAAATCCGTTATCTATCCAAATCTTTTGATTTTTCTTTTGGAACATCAGTAAATTTCACAGAAATATTAAATTTGTAGAATCATTGAATAATTAGAACAAGGATTCTATTTTTTTTTTTTTTTTTGAGACGGAGTTTCGCTCGTTACCCAGGCTGGAGTGCAAATGGCGCGATCTCGGCTCACCGCAACCTCCGCCTCCTGGGTTCAAGCAATTCTCCTGCCTCAGCCTCCCGAGCTGGGATTACAGGCAGGCGCCACCACGCCCAGCTAATTTTTGTATTTTTAGTAGAGGCGGGGTTTCACCATGTTGACCAGGATGGTCTCGATCTCTTGAGCTCGTGATCCACCCGCCTCGGCCTCCCAAAGTGCTGGGATTACAGGCTTGAGCCACCGCGCCCGGCCCTAGAACAAGGATTCTAAACAAAGTTGTTTCTTTCCTCCTAAAATCTCTACCAAACACCTTCAAACTATGTTACTAAGATTTTAAGAAATATATTAAATCAATAAACTATGTTCCTAGTTAGAAAACTTCAATTTTTTTAAGATTACATAGGCATACACATTTTTACTGACAGTTGAAATTTGTTTGATTTGCTTTACATGACATTGAGTTGTTACATTAATAACTAAGATAACAAATATAATTTAGAAATTAAAAAAAAAAGCAATTTGGAGAAAATTTTAAAAACCAAGTCATTTTAAAAGACAAACTGCAATGTACTCTCTGAGCCACTTCATTCATCTTTTTCTTCTTTTTTAATCTTGGCTGGGATTACAGGGTTATGCCACTATCCCCAGCTAGTTTTTTGTATCGTTAGTAGAAACGGAGTTTCACCGTGTTAGCCAGGCTGGTCTCGAACTCCAGACCTCATGATCTGCCTACCTCTGCTTCCTAAAGTGCTGGGATTACAGGTGTGAGCCACCGCACCCAGCCCCATAATTTTCTCGTGTAGCTAAAGGGAAGCAAATCTGTTCTTTCAAAATAATTGTAAAATTTTTGTATAAGAATGACTGGAAAAAAATCATCCAAAAACTACTTGACTACATATAGTTATGCATCTCTATTTAAGTGCTGACAAATGAATTTTTGTATTTATTTGGTTATGTAGCAGTTTTTCATTCTAATTTTGTTTTGTTCACTGCCATATCTCTGGTACCTACAATAATCCCCACCACAGAGTGGGTCTCCACTACTCTTATGCCTTTAAATCTCCCCTCACCTCATTGTAAATGACTTTTGATTTCTCTTTTACCCTTTTTATACACCCTGCCCTTATATCTCCTTTTATGTCTGAAGCTTTATGGGATTCAGCCATTGAGGTCACATGGGTTTAGGTATACCTCTTCAATGTCTGTGACTTCTCTGCATATATGCACATTTGTTGTTGTCCTTACTTTTTTCTATCAGTTCCTTACCGTAACATGCACTTAATTCTTGAAAATTCATTCGTGTGCTACAAAGATGGCAAATTCAAACTTCTGTCATAACACACCATTAACTCCACAAAGACACTCTGTATTTGCTACATTAGTATTTACTGATGAGTTAATGTAATAATGACCCATCTGCTTCTGCTGCCTGTGAGGTACTTTCTATCCATAGGGTTGGAAATTAATGACAGAGGCTCTCTGAGCTGCCTGAGCTGAGAATGGTGTGAGAAGTATATAAGAGCTGGATTACTAGATAGCAAATGAGGGGGTAAATATTCCAGTGGATGTAAGTTTGGGCTCTATTCATGAAGCTTTTTTTCTATCAAAAGCATTTGCTGATATTGCTGACATTGAAATATTAAAAGGTAAAGAATTTTCTATTTCTGGGAAAGATTTATTTAGAGAAATGCACACTTGGTGTTAAATTCATGGTTTATTTCAAAGAAAGGCTAAAGGGAGAATGTATTACAATATGAATGTTCAGAATGTTTAGAGGAGGAAATTGGGAAAGTAAAAATTTTGAAATTACTTGAAAAGTGTATAGTATTAAGGGACTATGTCAATAAAAGTTTTTATCTTTGTAAATTACATTAAATATATTTCCTTTAAAAACTAGTCTCGGCCGGGCACGGTGGCTCAAGCCTGTAATCCCAGCAGTTTGGGAGGCCAAGGCTGGTGGATCACGAGCTCAAGAGATCGAGACCATCCTGGTCAACATGGTGAAACCCCGTCTCTACTAAAAATACAAAAAATTAGCTGGGCATGGTGGCGCGTGCCTGTAATCCCAGCTACTCAGGAGGCTGAGGCAGGAGAATTGCCTGAACCCAGGAGGCGGAGGTTGCGGTGAGCCGAGATCGCGCCATGGCACTCCAGCCTGGGTAACAAGAGCGAAACTCCATCTCAAAAAAAAAAAAAGAAAACAAACAAACAAACAAAAAAAACCAAACTAGTCTCTAATTTAAAATTACGTCAATTAGAACTGTAGAAAATCTCATTTCAGTGCTGGATTATTCTTTGCAGAAAATTTGAGAAGCAATGTGCATCCTAAAGCTGCAAGTATTTCTCGTCGTGCTCTCTGTTGCATTAAACTCTCTGAAAGCTACACCCATGGAAAGGTTGGTAATTTTAAACTCTGTTTATTTTGTAAAGTTGGGGAAAATAGAATTAAATACTGTGGCGTAACTAACAGACATTGTGCCGTTAGATTTCTGACTATATCGTGCTTAAGAACAGTACCTTCAGCTGTTCCATTGGTCCTTGAATTCTGTGTTCTTTAAAGAATAATGCCAGTGGTTAATAAATCTCTTTGACGGAATTTCTGACAGACAGGAATGAATAATTCCAGTTTTGTCAAGAAATATGCTCTTGGAACTTAGAGGAGCAAAGCCAGAACATGAAGCGTAAAAAAAAATCAAAAGATAGTAATTTATCCTATACTAACCTGATATTGAAACAAACTGGAGAAACCTAACTAAAGCATATATTCTTACATCAAGTGGATTTTTTTTTTATATTTACATAGATTTTTTTTTTTGTTTTCCTCAAATGGCTCTGGAAATATTCAAAACTTTTACATATTGTGGAAATGGAAATGTATAGAAATAATCAGGAGCAAATTAATATTTGCAACAAATGAAACCTAAAATAATTAGTTAAAAAATCATTTGCTGTTTGAGGATTTATTCTATATTGTTAGCTAGCTATTCCATTAGTGAAACATAATTATAAAAAGTCATTCTTCATATTACTTCAGTGTGGCTGTAAATTTAAATTAATACTTTTTAAAATTATTTTCAATAGTTAGCATGTATGTCAGGATTTCCTGGGAAGGCTTATTATGAAAGGTTTTATGTCATTTAAATGGTAATTAAGGAAGTCTAAAAGCTATGTCACATAAAACCCTTAAGAGTAGTTACAATTTTCAAACTGAAACTTTAAAACTGTAATTCTTCATTTATATTTAAAGGGTTATTGGGTTCAAATCCATGCATAAGTCATAAATAATATACTGAGGATTTTTTTGTGCCTAAATCAGTTTTGCTCCATAGAGCCTTATGGGACTGAACTTACACACTTTTTAACACCAAGGAGAATTAAGTTTCCCTTTGTAACGAGTGTGCATTGTCATATTAGAACACTTCTCATTAGAATGACCATCATCTTGTCTTTGTTTTCCTTCGAGGAAGTTTTCACTGGAAACCCATAGCAATATGCAAAGATTTCTACAGCACCTATGCATAATAAATAGCAAGAATCATCATCAGATGTTTTTGTCATTTCAGGGCTTATTTAGTTTACAGGATGTTCTTCTCAGAACTGACTGTAATTTTCTATTTGCTTATTTATGGCTAAACATAACTTTTAAAATGACATGAAGTTTCTGATAAGCAGAATAACTGAATGATGACAGGAAAATCAGTAGTATTACCTAGTATATCTATTTATATCTTGATATTTTCTTTCAATAGATATAGAAATTTACTAAGCACCTTTACCCTCTTTTTTAAATTTTATTTTGAGACAAGGTCTCTCTCTGTCACCTAGGCTGCTGGGGTACAGTGGTACAAATATGGCTCACTGCAACCTTGACCTCCTGGGCTCAGGAGATCCTCCCACCTCAGCCTCCCAAGTCTCTGGGACCACAGGCACCTGCCACCATACCCAGCTAATTGTTTTATTTTTATTTTATAGAGAAAGGGTCTCCTTATATTGCCCAGGCTGGTCTCAAACTCCAGGGCTCAAGCCATCCTCCTGCCTCAGTCTCCCAAAATTCTGCGATTATAATAGTGAGCCACTGAAACCAGACCTTTATGTCTTTATAGATATTTGATTATTATGAGAGGAACTTCACTTAGAAATAGAGCAATATGTAATATAATATTACTTATTATACAATTATTTTGATGTTAGTCTCACAATCTTTAACTTTGAATTGTTATTAGAAAAACTTGTAAAACATTCTTCAGATTGCTTTTTAATGTGTTGCCTGAAATGAGTATGTTTGAACACTTGTTAAAGGGAGTATGATTTATCATGCTGAGATGTTAAATCATGTGCTATTCTATGTATCTCACAGAAAGCTAGGAAAATCTATGGGAAATGTCTCAAATTTTAAACTCTTTTAAAAAAAGAAACTAGTATTCAATGTCATTTTCCTCATAACATTTAGTCATCTCATTTGAGATTTCTTTCAATTTATAAAAGTATTAAACAGGGCAAAAGGATCACATACTTTCTCACCAATTTTTTTACATTCCCTTGTAAATTTCTGCCTGGCAGGTAATCAAAGGAAAGTTAAAAACGAAATTACATAGATTCCAAGATATAATCACTAGAACCTCCCTGAAAGAGCTCACATGCTTCCACAGATGAATGTTAAGAGCTGAGAGAAGGGACTCACTTTAAAGTCATTTTTGAAACTCTGGAGAGACCATTTAAAACAGAGGCAATTTAAGAGTTACACTTTGGCTTATTATCATCTTTGTTTAAACTCTTCTTAAAGTCAAGAATTTCCATGTGTGTATGTGCCTGTAGGTGGTCAAAAGCTTTAATGTTGTTACTAGCTAGTATGCTACCTGCCCAGGTAGTCAGTGAGGGGAAAAAATGCCTGAAACTGGGGATGTGCCTTTTATTAACCATTTCAGACATCTTTTTCCATCCTGAAGATTGATTTAGATGCACTCTTGTATATGCTGAATAGTATATTTAGATGAAAGGTCTTGTTTAGGAAAGCAATTTCACAATTATGTTACAAACATAAATGCTCTTACTGTTTCTTCTAAATAGAATGATAGTCCATCTAGCTAATTCAAACAAGGTAGCATTTTATTCATAACAATTTAAAATTCTATTACTGACCTTCCAACCAATTATCAAAATATCACTCAGCATTTAGCATATAAAGTATTTCACACTCTGCTTCAATCACATGCTAATCATATCTTGAAACAGATATTCCCTTTGAACCTTCTCAATTCGACCCATAATTTTTCTTTATTGCTTTTTTTGAGGTGTTTGGACCAATTTTTCCAATTGGACCAATTCCAATTTTTCCTGTTTTTCAAGAAAGGTTAGTATTTTAGAATTCAATGCAAATATACAAAATTACTGGTTCAATTCTTAAAGCATTAAGTCCCTCTTTTGAAATGTACATTGGTCGTATTTACTGTACCTTCAAAAATAAATAATTGAACAGATAATGTGAATGAGATTGATATAGATTAAATAATTATATTCCAAAGTGGTTTCCTTTGCCCAGATAATTTGTCCAGTAATTTGTCAGCATTCACTTACATTCAACAAATATTCAGTTCACCTGATGCTGTAAGAAATTTTCTGTATTTAGAAGGAAATATGAGAGTAAAAATAAAAAAAAAGAGTTTAACATGAGATGATTAAACATTTACTCTTAGGCTATCTCTACTTAGAGATAGAGATAATGAAATACTCCCCATACAAGGTAAACACAATGAGATAAATCCACGCGTTTAAGTCCCAAATTACGCATATCCATCGGCTCCTGGATTTTGAGATTTTAGCCCTATAACTATGTCATTTTCCACTTACCCTAAGTTGCACCAATATTTTGATTTATATGGAGCTGAAAACTAAAACATTTCTCTAACTTTCCTAATAATCACCAAAGAAGCAATGTTATTATTCTGCATCCATTTCCACTATCATTTCGAAAGCACATTGAAACAAAAGGCAGTCAAAAATACGGAGACAGTATACAAACAAATGTTTTAAATTAAAACCTAAGTTGAAAACAATGGAATCATTTAATTCATGGTTATGATTTCTGAGTTTATAAATATTGTTATGCACTTCTTCCAGGTGGCTAGAAAATTATGGTGACTATTAATACCATTGACATAAAAAGTCTTTTGCTTTTTAACACTTAGCCTAGTCTTATCATTAAAATTGTTGAAAGCATAAGATCCAAGCAGGAAAATGTATTTATGCTAAAAGTAAGAAAACTCTCACATTGCAGTAGAGTACTTGAGCAGGTGATAAATTTGATTCTCTTTGAGATTTTATGACATTCTCTTTTTTTGACATTATCGCTTTTTTATTTTATTATATTTCATTTTACTGTGGTAAGAGCAAAGCAGAAGATCTACCCTTTTAACAAATTTTTAAGCACGCAATGTTTTATCCTGGATTATGTGTACAATGCTGTGCAGCAAATCTCTAGAGCTTAGACACCCTGCTTGACTGAAGCTTTACACCCATTAGTTAGTAACTCCCTGTTTCCTCCTCTCCCCTTCCCCTAATAACCACTATTCCGTTCTTTGATTCATGAACTCAACTATTTTAAATACTTTATATACATGGAAGCAAGTCGTATCTGTCTTTCTGTTTCTGGCTTCTTTCACTTAACCTAATGTCCTGAAGCTTCATCCATGTGCTGCATATTGCAGAATTCGCTTCTGACATTTCTTGCTTATTCAATTATCTCAGGGAACTTAAAGATTAAGTGATACTGCTTTATTTATTGGAAAGATGTAAAAATAATTATTTTTAAATTTCTATTTATATAAATTTTACATTTCTAAATTCTTTTTATATATTAAAACATAAATTCCTCAAGATTTTTTAAAATGTAAGACAAAGACACTGTTATACTGATTATATGCAATGTATTCTGAATTTCCAAAGGAAGACTTTCTACTGAGAAATGCAACATTGACTGTAATGAAAAATGTTATATGATTTCCAGCTGTCGTTTCAAGGTGTCAAAAAAAAAAAAAAAAATCTCTCAGTCATCTAGGTGTTTGCAAACCGAAACACTGAATTACTTATTTGAAAAGTGTGTCTTTATTTTTCATCAATATAAGACGTTTGATGTCACATGGCTGGATCCAACTAAAATTCTAAGGCTCTAACTTTTCACATTTTTTCTTGTTACCAGTCATCAGGTGGAAACACGGAAATGCAACACCGCCACATGTTCAATGCATCGCCTGGCAGATTTTTTAGGTCGTTCCGGCAACAACTTTGGTGCCATTCTCTCACCTACCAACGTGGGATCCAATACCTATGGCAAGAGGAATGCAGCAGAGGTTTTAAAGAGAGAGCCACCGAATTACTTGCCCCTTTAGAGGACAATGTGCCTCTACAGTTATTGCTTTATGTTCTAGTGATTTCCTGTATAATTTACCAGTGGCTTTTTCATTTCCACTGTGAATATATGGTCTGTGTATCCTACGTTTATTGCCAGGACATATACATTGTCAAAAGATTGTTTTATACGTACCCAGCTAATTTTTTATTTTTAGTAGAAACAGGGTTTCACTATGTTGGTCAGGCTGGTCTCAAACTCATGACTTCAGGTGACCTGCCCGCCTCAGCCTCCCAAAGTTCTGAGATTGCAGGAATGAGCTACCATGCCTGGCTACATACTGTTTCTTTTCATTTTAAAATGCAAATAAATGTATATTGTTACACTAGATCACCATGTCATATTCTTATAAAAATAAATTGAATCACAGAGAGTTACTATCAAAAATATATAATCTATAAGACAAAAATGTTGGTAAGCTATGTTCACATTACCAAACTATTTATTACTAGAATTTTATAGAAAATTTTAAATCACGGAAAGATATTTGTAGTGTCAAACTTAAATAAACTTACATAGATTTGAATTTCTAAATTACTGTTGCATACTTTATTTTATTCAACAAACATTGTCATATAGACCTTAAACTGTGTTTAATGTCCACAAAAAAGGAAAAGAATGTAAACTTGTGAAAGATAGCCTTTTAAAAATCTGAAATACAAATACATTTATAGTTAAAATGATGATAAAGTTTGTAAAATGTGGTGCAGGAGCGTGTGGAAGAGTGACGATACTACTTTTTTGTCCCCCACCTTCTAAATCCCTCCACCAACATTTTCCAATTCTTTTTCTGTCTTGCAAACACTTACATCATAAAATGGTGATATTTGGCATCTTTTATAAAACGATTACAATAACTTTTGTTTATTTGCATTTCCTCTTTTATAAACCCCAGTTCATGCGTTTTTCCCATGTTTGCTTTTTCTTTTCCATTTGTAGTTCTCCGTTTTACATTATAGTTATAAAGCTTACCTCTCATATATGTTTCAAACATGTTCTCTATTTAAAAAAAAAAACTTATTTATGCTACTTTTGCCTTTGTGTAAATTTGTACTATTAAAGAATTAGATCCTACGATGTTTTTCCATTATAGTTTCTTGGTCTTGTTTGTCTTTTTAAAGAAGTTTTTCTTTAACCTAACATTATTTTTCTCATTTTTTTACTTTTTATTTTAAAATTAAAATCCCTAATGGATTACTCTTTTTCACCTTTGAAGGTGGCATTTGCAGGAATATCACTCTTTTCTTGCTGAATGGAGATCTAATTATTATTGTCAAATCATTTATTAAATAAGCTATACTTTCTCTGGTGAACAAATTCAAGGAAATGCGATTGAAAAATAACACAGTACTCCTAGTCTTTTCATATAGCAAATTAAAAACTTTTTTTGAAAGAGTTATCATGCACAGCAAAATGATAACTGGAGAAGTGATGGGATTGTATATTGTGGTATACAATGTTTCTGTCATTTCACTTTTGGAAATCCATTCTGTAGAAATAGATGTTGTTATCCAAGCAATTAAGGACTAACCATGATTTAGATATACATGCTGACCTAGAGGGATGTCCATAGTTCATAGTTAAATGATTACAGTAACAAGTCAAGATATGTATATAATGATGATCCTATATTTGTGAGTAAAAGTTATGGGGAGCATATGTATATAATTACACAAATCATGTATGTTTTACATGAGTATAGCAAGAAATGTAAAAAGTTATGCACAAAATTGACTTTTTTATATACTCTTCTGTTACTTGGCTTGGAAAACATAATGTTTTCATTTTTAAATTTTAAAATGTGTGAGTGTTGAGTGTTAAGTGTGTAGATGTGTATGTTAGGGACAACTAATGTTCTACGATTTCCAGAGAGAGAGAAATATGAAAAACATGGGGCTTGATCAAAATTTGAAGGATGGTCGTGGAAGAACTGGATAAACAAAAAGGGACTTTCCAGGTCAATGACAAGGCAGGAGGAGAACATTACCCAGAATCATTTAGACGTACTTCTAACGCTCCAAGCCACTTGTAACTACATATTTGAAAACTCAAAATACAAATTTGTGTCTGTGCATGCATAAACAATATTATTATTACTGCACGAAACAAATCCTGCATTAAACATAACTGTCATTGCTATCAGGAATGTATAGACAAGATAATTAGAAAACTCGAGAATCTTATATTTATTACTAAGCATTAAATCTCCTTATAATTTTCCAAGTAAAAGTGACTGAATTAGAGCCCACAGCAACCCAAATAAATGAAGGACTTTTACCTTAGCATTCACCAACACCACCGTTCATTGTTGCTTCCATAAGATCATCAGATTTTTTTTAAATTACATGTTGAGTAGCTAGTATGAATAAAGCACCTCAAACGTATAAGCTGGAGTTTCTAGTTCATCAGAGAAGCAGAGTTGTAAATAAAAGGATCTTTGTTTACGTAAGTTTTAGTCCTTTGGTTAAGTTTCTTTGGCTCTGATGGTTGCATAAAACAGGTTATAATCTTGGAAACAGGTTCTAAGATTACTCTAGTCACTTGGGACCAGAGGCTCCTCCTTGCTGCTTTTTTGTTTGTTGTTTTTTTAAACAGTTAACTCTTGTGTGGCCTTGGCTCCAATATTCTGTTGAAAAACCTCAGTAATGGCTGAGCGTCAATTTTCTCAGGGTTTTTTTGTTTGTTTGTTTGTTTGTTTTTTTGGTGATTAAGACGGCTTTAACTAGTCTCTTGTAAATCAAAGATAACATGTTAATTTGTTCATTGAGTAAATTGACACACATGTATTTGAGCACGAGTTCAATTTTCAGTGTAGCTGGATAATCTAAGAAAAAATGACACCAAAATGAGAATAAACTTGGAAGCAGAGTTGATGTAGACAAGGATATTTATTTCTATGGGATGCCACTGACATTTTTGAACAGCAGACTGAGATGCAAAAACCATTGTCTACAGATCATTCTATCAGTAACTTTCTAGCTGGATTAAATGAATAAAAGATTAGTGGCTATCCAAAGTAATCAGGTGGTCATATCCAGGGGTAATTTGTAATGGAGTGACTACAATAGTTGGATTGATTTTTTTTTTTAAATTTCATTTTATTTTAAATTCCAGGATACATGTGCAGGACTAGCAGATTTGTAACATAGGTAAACATGTGCCATGATGATTTGCTGCACCTATCAATCCATCACCTAGGTATTAAGCCCCACGTGCATTAGTTATTCATCCTGAAGCTCTCCTTCCTCCCATTCCCGACAGGCCCCACTGTGTGTTGTTCCTCTCCCTGTGTCCATTGTATTCTCATCGTTCAGCTCCCACTGTAAATGAGAATATGTGGTGTTTGGTTTTCTGTTTCTGCATTAGTTTTCTGAGGATAATGGATTTCAGCTCCATCCATGTTCTTGTCTGCCTGAGAATATTATTTTTATATTATGCTCTTATTTCTAAGAACAATTTGGCTCACGTTAAATTTAGTATCTTTTCCTGCAAAATTTAAAAATATTGCTTCATTTATTCTTGACCCCAGTGTTGCAATTAAGGAAACTGAGATTGATTTTTTCTTGTCCTTTTGCATGTGAATTTTTCATTCTCTTGGGAAGTTTTTATAATATTTTCTTGTCTTTGTCAGTCTTGAATTTCACTATAGCACTTGTGCATGTGTTTATCAATTTTTTTTAACATTCTATAAGCTCTTTCAATACGAAGACTTGCAAAATATTTTAATTCTAGGAAGTTAGCACTTTTCCATTATCCTCCTCATCTCTTGGCTCCTCTTTCATATTTTTCTACTTTTTGTCCTTGGTTCTTCCTTCTGGAGGATTTTCTCTATCTGATATTCTCTTTCAATACCTCATTCCTCAAGCTTTATCCTTTCTGCTACTCATCCCATCTGCTGTGTTCATTATGCAATTATTTTTTATACATAATAGCCTCTCCTTTTTAGTGATTTATTGTTCTTGTCTCATATTGTTAATAATTATTTTTCTTTTCATTATGTTTATTGCTTTAAATTTTTTTAACTGTTCTAATATTCTGATTCTGTTTGTAGCTGTAACCTAATCTGTTATTTTTCTATTCAGATGGCTGTGTTCTCAAATGTATTGTTTTCTGAGCCTACGAGCTCATTTTACTTTGAAAATATTGGCTAATCTGTCAAGCAATGCTAGGAAGGAAGATCAGACCTCATTTTCTGTCAGTTACAATAAAATCAGGAAAGGGAAATAATGGACCTTTGGATATAGAATCTCAGGCGTGCATGTGCATACACACACACACACACACACACACACACACACACACAAGATAATAAATCACTCACTCTCCCAAAATAACTCTACAGGACATGTTTATAGTTCTATTATTTGTTCCTTAAGTATAAACATTATATCATTAGGAGGATTATTTTTTTTTACGTTATAATTCCCCAAACTTGAGAACAGAGCTAGCTTCATGGGTATGTGTCACCTGCTCATGCTTGCTGTGGGTGTCTTGCTTAATTTAATTGTCTGCAGACTGTTCTTGCTTAGCTTTTGTTTTTGTTTTTGTTTTTTTTTAAGAAACAGAGCATTGGACAGGCTAAAGGGCACTGACTATTCACAAGAGCGATCCCACTACTGATTAACACAGAAGTTTTGAACAAAGGGCCCCACATTTTTATTCTGCACTGGGCATACTCATCACGAATGAAGGTGTCAACCAAGAAAAAAATAAGTCATTGAGTTCAGGAAACAAGGGATCTTACTTAAATAAATAAAATTTCTGAAATGAGAATGAAAAGAAATTACCGTGCAGCCAAAATGGGGACCAACAGCTTAATTGGATCGAGAGGATAAATGGCTCCCAAAAGGAAATTTCCAAGGAAAAATCAGAACTAATATTTATTGAAAGCATTAAGCTGGAAAGTTAAATGTTTGAACATAGTGATTGAGACTGCTGAGTGTTTGAACCTTCTGATGTAAGCTCCATAAATGCAATAAGTAGCACAGTCGCACTCAGTGTATTCTTTTTCTATATTCCTGATATGACTTCGCTTTCTCTGGCAGATTTGGGAAAAAATTAGTAATAAAAACAAAGAAAACTAAGCAAAGAGAAAAAGCAAGGCATTACAAGGAAAATAAAAAGTTGTGTAAG